GTGATATCCATATTATTTCTAAAATCAAGTGACAAAATGATAATTGTGGAAGAAAAACAAAAACATTGAATAAAGTTAGAAAAAAGTATTTTTTCTTGATTATATTTTAAGCATGCATATTCTTGAAATTACATTTATATAAACCATATAATTACAATGCAGAGCACACAATATTGCATGCAAATAAGTAGGCCTAGTCAATCTAAATGCAGAAATTTTTTTGGTTGAAGCAATTGTCATATTAAACTAGTCTGATTTGAAACTTAGCTTAGAAATTAAGATAAAATGCTTTTCGTCAAAACATTTATCTTGTTGCTTTGTATAAATATGTCTCCAGTCACTTAGTTATGCTGACTCTGCACTTAACATGATTTTCAGGTGACTCAATTGTCTTTGTTACTGCTCATGTGCAGTAAAATTGCTTTCTGATTAGAATTACCTTTGAGTACTTTGGCAACAGAGTACTGGGACTACATATATCTTTGCATGGTGATTCTGCCACAGCTAATCAGCATGCAGCACCCATAATTCCAAATGTACATGACATCATATTTCTAACCATCATCTTTAGCACTACATAGTGTAGTGTGACAATTTTGACAAGGTGCAAAAATAAATAGCAAATATTACATGTCTGATACTGCTGTTGAAAAATGGTTGGAGGTTATCAGATACCATCCTATTCTTTATGACAGAAAAAAGACCCAAATTATAGAAATGATAATATAAAAACAGATGTATGTAAGCAAATGGCTTTAATTAGTAGCAGGTCAGATAAGACATTAGTATTAAATGTTAAAAGAATTAAATTGAAAAATAAACTTTCATTGCAATAATTCAATTTCATACAAAGTGTGTAGGCACATAGGTGTAGCCTATGTGTGTTGCTCTATGAATCAGACAACAGCAATGTAATCACACTAAGTGGAGAATCAGCACAAAAGGTAAAAACATTCACGAATAGTGTTGAACCAATCGATATATCAAACCAAACTGATATAGGTTCACAATACATTCTAGAGCAGTGATTCCCAAACTTTTTCAAGCCACTGTTCCCTTGGTTCCATACTTATACTCTATGCCTTTCACCCATACCTCAACACCCCTAACCCATTTTCTCTTATGAGAGAAAGGCTTGGAAATGGTTTCTTTAGAAAGAAACTTTTCTATGAATCTCACACTGTGTCCTTACCATATCTGGAAATCATTATACACAATGTTTCTTCTTAACATTTTAACAGAGGAAAGGAAAAAGTTGTCAGTGACCTCAATCTCGCATTTGGTCAGCATTCGGTACCTACCTCTATGACCCTGACAACAACTTGCTTCTTTCTGTCCCCTAGATTTACTTACTGCCCACAGGGGGATAGTAGCATCCACTTTGGGAACCTCTGTTCTAAAGTTTAGAATATCAATATCCAGCATTTATCTAGAACAGTGTTTCTCGATGGGGTCGATATCGCCCCCATGTGGGCATTTTTCCATGTTGAGGGGCGATTAGTAACAATTTATATTTTGGGGGCGAAAAACAATTTTCTGGGCGATATAGTAAAACATTATATTAAGAATAATTCGATATTTTATTCGTTATATCGTACAATAATTAAACAAAAAACATTATACTAGTCACTAGTCTATTCGATGCAGTATGAATTTGGCGTTAGCCTTGGCCCTCGGCATTGGAATTTTGAAGTGAAGGGGACAATACGACAATGGTTTTACTGAAGGGGTTGATACTATGTTGAAGGGGATGACGATTCGTTAGAGGTTGAGAAACACTGATCTAGAATATTGATATCAATATTCTGTATTCCAGTATTCCATATTTTTTATTCAAAATATCAATGTTTAAAGCAATCTTGGTATCAAGCCCAATAGCTATATCAAAATTTTGGTTTAGAGCAGCTCTATTTGTAAAATGAGACTGTTGGCCTTTCCAAATATTTTATATTTTAGCATAATCAAAAATTAGTTTTCTTTCCAATGTTATTTTTCCTGCAATTCTTAGTACAGTTATTTTTGTACTCATACATTACATATTTTAATATTCACATCAAATTTTAAATATCTGCTCCATTTATCATTAAATCAGAACACACACAAAATAAAATTCACATTTATTTTTAATTTAGAAAAGCAGATATATAAACAAACTAAGCCAAAGCTTCACAAATGTTTACTCTGTTGAGAAAAATTGTAAAAAAGTAAATATCATATACAATAGCTATTATATCATAATTCTGTTTAAATAAATTACAGTTGAGAGTAACTTGCAATGGCTATTTGTATTAAAACTAATTTATAGAAAATAAAATTTAAAAAAGTTTAGTTACTATTAGCTTTATAGTGCAATGCAATATTTATAGGGTTGGCAACTAAGTGATTGCGGATTTTAAATAAGAAGGAAAATTCAAAATTTTTGCTTAAAAAAATAAATTTATTCAATTAGGTATTGTCCATTTTTGTCAATGACCTCTTGCCATCTTTCAGGCAGTGTCATAATTCCATAAAACTTCTGATTTTTGCCAGCAAAAAACTGAATTAAGTGTGTTTTTACATCATCAACATCATTAAAAATTTTACCATTTAAGGAGTTCTGCATGGAACGAAATAAAGGTAAAGGTAATCTGAAGGCGCAAGGTCAGGGCTATATGGTGGATGTGACAACACATTCCAACCTAGCTCCGATAATTTTTGGTGAGTGACCAAAGATGTGTGGGGCTTTGCATTATCATGCTGGAAAAGAACACCCTTACAATTTGCCAATTCTGGCCACTTTTCTTGAACTGCATCGCTTAGTTTGGCGAGTTGATGAACGTACTCATTTGAATTAATTGTTTGGTTTCTTGGTAAAAGTTCAAAGTACAGAATTCCTTTATAATCTCACCAAACTGACAGCATAATCTTTTTTTGGTGAATCTCAGCTTTTGGTGTCATCTGGGCTGGTTCATCTCGCATCACCCACGATCTTTTCCAATTAATGTTGCTATAAACTATCCACTTTTCGTCGCCAGTAATCAGTCGTTTCAGAAATGGATCAATCTTGTTGCATTTCAGAAGTGAATTGCAGATGCTAATGCATTGCATCAAATGAATTTCCTTAAGCTGATGAGGGACCCATAAATCCAGTTTCTTGACATAGCCAAGCTGTTTTAATTTTTTTGAATGTATGTATGTGATATATTGAGCTTCTGCACAATCTCATGCGTTCTGCTATGACGATCTGAATCGATAATGACCTTGATATGGGTCTCATCAACTTCAACTGGACAGCCAGATCATTGAGCATTTTTCAGTGAAAAATCATCAGAAGTAAATTTGGCAAACCAATTTTGACGCTGCCTTTCTTTCAAGGCTTCATTCCTATATACGGCACATAACTTATTATGTGCTTGTGATGCGTTCTTGCCTTTTCGGAAATAATACAATAAAATATGTCTGAAATGCATGTTTTGTTCTTCCATTTTTAAATTGGGATAAAAACGAAACTAAATAATTAATCAATACAATTTTTTTTTACTAAATTAAAGGTGGAAGTCCAAACAACAAGAAAACAATATAGGTTAAATGCTTTGAACACGATGACAAAGCCAAAAAAAAATGTGCTAAGGCCACCTATTGACAAAATCCGCAATCACTTAGTTGCCAACCCTATATTTCTATTAATTTGAATTTTTTTTATTTGTAGTATTTAAAAATATATTGTAATCACATTTGGATTTTTAAATTTTCTGTAAGTAGTTTTAATGTTTCTTTGAGAGCAGAGGTTTATCAATTAATTTTTTGTTCACTTACTGACTTAAGGGCATATGTCCCAGTTCTGCATTGATAACAAATTTCACTACAATCACCAATAGGCCATTCTTGATGTCTTATTTTCTTTGGCATTTATGATCTATAACATTGATAGTAGTATTAAAGCTGCATAGAAAATGCACATTTGAGACAAACCCAAAATTTCCATATCTAATGTATTTTGTCAATTCTCTATATCTGTAATTGAACTTCCATATATTTTAAATTCAAATTACTCTGAAAAACTATTGGCAACTATCATCAAAAATACATTTAACAATTTAAATGATTAACATTTTTAAACTGCAAATTTCATCCCAGTTTGATATTAAAATAAGTTTTCTAATTTATTATTCTTGAATCTTATGAAATTCAATTATATTTCTATAGATTTTGATAAATTTAAGTGTTATATTTGATATGATTTAAGAATATCAATAACTGCTTTTGTAGACATTTCAGAAAAAACTAGTGTGTAAATATCCATTAAAATAAAGTTCCTTGCATGTCAAATTTTAGTAATTTATTTAAATATTTGTCGAGAGTAATAACTGTCCACATACGAATTTATTAATTATAATAAACACTTTCAGTATAAAAAGGAATCCTAATATATACAATTTATAATCATTAGTGAAGCTAATAGAATGATAAGGTAAATTTATCACTTAATAAATTTAATTTATGCAATAATATATTAATATAATTCTTAATTTGAATGAAGTTCATAAGAAATATTGAAAACGTACAGATTTTATAGAATATTTCAGTTTAAAAAAAAATCCATTAATAAATTTCATTTCCAAATAGTTTATCGACAATTGATTTTGTTTTTCTTCTTCCCTCCAATGATTCGTACAGTTCTAATTTAAAATGTATTATAAATATGCGTATTTTAAAGCGGGAAAATGAACTGTAAGATGAACGAACATATTTATGTTAAAAATGTTTGCAATCTGATCAGAGATAATGAATTTTGACATATTAAATAACAAGAGTCCATTGATTTCTCTACGGCGCTTTCATGTTAATTTCATCGACGAAACCGCATTGGAAACATTAATACAAACTTAAATTACTCGATTTCAATTTTGAAATCTACAATTTAAGCCTAACTGATTTACAGTTCGTTTTGTATTAACTATGCATTTTATAAACTAATTAACAATTTACTTTAATATTAAAAGTTAATGATTAATACTCACTGTTTGAAACGATAATATCCTTTCAGATTAAAATAAAAAGCTTTCTTCTACTACGCCAGTTAAAGGACAGATAACACCTTCCTCCATTTGCAGACTATCGGAACGAGATTAACCGGTGATACACCCACCATATGACGTAATTCCGGATCCGGTTTATAACGTTTGCATTACTTTAAATTTTCAATGTTACGTTAATGTTAAGTATATTTATATAACTTGATTTAAATAGAATATATTATAATATTAATATAATAAGTAAAAATTATATATAAAAAATTGTTTTTATTTCATCGACATTTCGTCCTTTTGGCTAATTCCGGGATCATTATCTGGTGCCAACTTTATTCTTGGAGGAAAATAAAAGCTGGCATGTGAAAAGAATTAAGTTTAGATTCCTCTAGTGAAAGTCCTAACAATAAGTCGCCATGTGCTATATTTGGAAGATAACTTATTGAACTTTATTGTTTTGATTACTATCCAGAAACACGGCGTAAAAATAAATGAATGATGATTCAGATTCAATTTCCGCATGAGCAAATGCCATTTTTTCGAAATTATCTTTCCTAGAATTAATATCGTAATTCTTAAAATTAAATCATATGTCTACGGCCGTCGAAAGAGGGGAGAACTGGGGGATTTTTCCAGGCACGGAGGAGTCCGTGGTGGTTTCTATCTCCACGGACTCCTCCGGGCCCGGCTCAACCTCCGAAATTAATGATATTTTTGCTAACATAGAATATAACTTCTAAGACTGCTTTTTATCAATAAAGAAACATTCGACACTTATTCAAAAAACGCAAAAGAGACATGCTAAGGAATAGAAATGGCCTATTGTAACCTCAATCCCATAAGTTCTCGACTAACTTTCATATGACACTAATAAAGCTAAAAAAAAAAATTCCACGTAGACAATGCTCGACCACTTCCATACAAGGATCTTCACTTTTCCTTACACGTAATTAATGAACCATCTCCTAATTTCAAATTTTATACTCACTTTGCAATCGGACAGTTGAAGTTTTATTCATTTTTTCGATTTATTGATCATAAAATAAAATTATTAGACTGCCGTTTATGTTCTGATGAAAAAATGATACATCATGCTTAAATTAATTGCAGTTTTATACAATATATCATGTGTTAATATTGTTCATATAAAATTTTTACGGCAATTGGGTCGCTAACGTTTAAAAAATTAAATGCCAAATTAATTTTTAAGCTGATTTAATTTTCATTCGTTATTTCAGCAGTGTATATATATACAGTATATATATGTGTGTTTGTGTGTGTGTGTGTGTGTCATTTATTAATACAGAAAAGTGAAATGTCATTTAAAGAATTTCGTTAAAAATTAATAAGTCATCGGTTAATTATTAAATATGTCTCCATTTAATTATATTATTTATAATTTAATGATGATATATTTATTTATTTAAGTATCTACAATTATAATACATATAAATATTTGATTGTAGTCTCATATAGACTAAATATATAACCCTAATTAAATAAACTTTAATTATATTATGTTACAGCTAATGCCCGATAATCGGATAAAGCTAGGATTAACCGGCTAATGCTAACTTTATCCAAGTCTTTGGATTAAAACAAGTAACAATCCCTATCTGTATAAAGCGCGCTTTATTCCAGTCATAAGCGGATAAAGCCGACCTTAACTAAAAACGGTTGAATGAACAAATTTTAAAATTCGGGCTTCATCCACCCATTTTGTATAAAGGAAAATTTAGAATTTCACTCTAACCAGATAATCTGCGATCTTTCCAATGCAAGTTGAATAATTAAAGAAGTAATGTTTTTTAAATGAAATAGAATTTATTATTTCTCTATTGTATAAAAACTGAAGAAAATTAAAATTAATGTAGCCAGTTATTTCACTAAAATATCGCCAGATTTAGCTAAAACAATCTCATCTTTAAATCTAAAAATTTTCAAATTTAGCTATAACATAAAGAAGTGTTTTAATTTACAGAATACAGATAGGCTTTCAAAAGTGCATAATATCTGTATTATGTAAATGGCGTTTACCAGGAATTCGTGTTTAAATTCTCCGTGAGCGCCAATCAATTGAAAAAGAATAAAACATCCTCTGGAAGAACTTATAATGTTTTGAATTTCTTTTCTTTTTTTTACGACGTTAGCCTCAAATAAAAGTTGTGTCACAGAGTGTGTGATTCTGTATGTTTGTGTGTGTATTCGAAAGAACTAAGACACATATAGTATTTTGTGTTTGTCTTCAGTTGTATTCATTAATTATGATCCTGAAGATTAAAATTGCTTTTTAAGTTTATGAAAGACCTCAGTGGCTCACTCAGGATTTAACCTTGAGGAGTCGATTTGAACGGATAAAAAATTTTTAATGCGAATTCAATAAAATTCCCACTTTACGGGACCTCTAATTCATAATCCAGGATTATCTTTACATTCGAAAATCAAAACATTACGAACGTGTTCAAGTCATCTAAATCATCTTTCGGAAATTTTGGAAAATTTTCTAGTATTTTTTCCTTTATCTTTGGAGGATGCTAGAGCCCCTTGGCCTCTTTTGGGTGGCCGCTGATGGCCGGTATGAAAAAGTCATTAAATTGAAAAAATCGTTGCCATATTGCAAATTGGCTTGAAAAATATAGCGATAAATTGCCAAACTTAACAAAATTGCCCTCTTTTTATTATATTTAGTTCTATACAAACAACATCAGATAGATACATTATTATTATATGGATTATGATTGGCTGCAATTTTACCGATTATGAGAAGACCTGAATTGCAGCAAGAGTGTGAGATGGATGAATCAGAATTCTGATCGGATTTAAACACAAATTTTTTCAGGCTAGCAAGCATTTTATTGTTGTATAACCATTTGAGTTACCGTTTTATACAGATCGTATCATTCAAAACTCACATTCAAATTGGTCATTTGTATTTAAGACACATTTCATTTATAAGCAGTGGTTTTATACTTTTTTAGAATTTGAATTGTTATTACAGCTATATATCTAACGTAAATGAAAATTTCCACCATATATTATAAAACTAAAATATTGAAGATGGGTATAAGAATTTAACTTTCGAATTTCTTTAAAACTTAGTGGGTCACCAGCCAGCGGTTCCGTTCCCTGAACACTGGGAGTGCGGTCGTGGGTTCACGTCTCGCCAGGATGGGCTGGCCACGTGGAGTTTTCCGGGTTTTCTCCACGTCTATAACGCCTGAATATGGGCCAGTTACCCTTAAAAAGGCTTCCCGGAAGACATCCCCTTAGGCAGTTCGCGTTAGCCCTGCCTTAATTGGGGCATTTTCCTTGGACTTTTTCTCCTAAAGCAATGCAACAACAAATCGTAGTCATCAAAACCCAGCCGATTTTAGATAATTGTTAAAATTCTTAAATAGATAATGTTCTTATTTGATTGAAATAAAAATATCTCTAACGAAGAAACTAATGTTTATCTAAAAAGTTAAATATTAATATATAGTGGGTTGGATTGAATTGATGGAATAAAGCAACGCAATAGGCCTACATGGTCGATTTGACAAGAAGAGTGTCTCCCGGAAAGACTTTCTATGGGAAACTAGCCCTATTTAGATGTTACACACGTGAAAAACCCAGAAAATTCTACTTGTCCAGCCTTCGATCAAGCATGAACCCATGACCAGTGGTGAATGACCATTCAGCCACTGGTAAGCGTATCAGTATATCGATATAGTGATCGGAATGTCGATTCCTAGTTACCATAAGATAGGAAAAAAAAAAATGATGAATGAATTCATTATAAAATAAAAACCGTATGTAAATTTAAATTGTTATTTAATAATTGATGAAGACATTTAATGTAGAAATGTAAACAAATCATAATTTAGAAAGACGCTTATTTATTGAATTAATGACTAAAAGTCTTCCAATTTACTAGAATCACTGGAATCATTTATCGATTAAGATCATATATCATCTCTCTCTCTCTCTATTGAATATATCTTCAAAAATAGAGAGATATATATTACACAATGATTAAAATTACAGTTGATTTATGTTATAGTTATATGGGCTGTTGTCCAAATTTTTATATAAAATAGTATTTTTGATGAAACTTAATAAATCTTAGAGTTAAATCTATAGAAATAATACTCGCTTTCAAGTGTCAAGTTCTAGCATATAAAAATCAATAGAAGACTGTTTCTTGCGTGTTAAACAGTCTTTAATATAGTTTTAAATATATACATTGTATATGTCAACGGGATTGTACATACCTAATTGTTTTATTTTAATAGTTAACCGTGCTTTTCATTATCATTGTCATTGTAAATTTGAGTTTTTAATTTCGCATCGTAATTCATTATTGGCTAGCTATCCTTCACTGTTTCGCGTTTTTTTAATTAATATATGTAAAAGTCATAGTTATCATAACGTTCAGATAATAACTATAAATATGTAATTAATAAAATTTAAAAATGTAGAAGCAAGGACACTAGCAGAAATTTGTCTTAAGAGACTAAATATGCCTACGGTTATACATCAACTAACCAACCAATTCGTAAAATAATGTTCCTTAAACAGTTAATTTCTAATCATAATACTTTCGTCTATCTTTATGAGATGAATAATGAATACATTAAAAAACAAGCGAAAGTTCACTAAAAATAGTGATATCCCCAAACAGTAGGCTATATCTTCTGCATACTGCTTTAAGAACGAGAGGGGCCAACTAATCACACGTGAACTGCAGTTCAATGTACTTTAGTGTAACGACTATTAACTAGATGTATTCTTAAAAATATCTTTATTTATAAACAGGACCGGATTTGAGACGATTGGAGCGATTTGCGCCAATCGGGCCCCGCGCTTGAAGGGGCCCCACAGGAGATCAAAATTTATATATTTAAAAATAGTTTCAAATTACAGAATAGATTAAACAGTTTAGCGATCATGTCGATTGAGAGTCAGGAAGCAAGCCAGTTGGATTTTGATATTATTTTAGAAGATTTTACAGAACAAAAATTTTTCGGAACATATAAAACATCTCTTTATAGGTTTATATTCAATAATATTCAATTATATTCATTCATGAACACATCATAAATTTTTGTCATGAAAAATCTTCTAATGTGTTGATGAATGATTATAACTAAAGTTTATTGAATATAAACCTATAAAGAGATATTTTATATGTTCGGAAGTTTTTGTTCTGTAAAATCTTCTAAAATGGTATCAAAATCCAACTGGCTTGCTTCTTGACTCTCAATCGACATGATCGCTAAACTGTTTAATCTGTTCTGTAATTTGAAACTATTTTTAAATATATAAATTTTGATGTCCTGCGGGGCTCCTTCAAGCGCGGGGCCCGATTGACGCAAATCGCTCCAATCGCCTCAAATCTGGCCCCGCTTTCNAATAAATATTTAAAATCTATATTTCAATATGTAAATTAACTGTTAATTAATTTTGTTATTTAAAGTTTTGAGGGGCCCCGCAAAAAAAAATTTCAATCGGGCCTTGCACCTATTGCATCCGGCCCTGTTTATAAAATTGTTATTCGAAAAATTCAAGAAGAAAAAAAAACAAAGTAAATCTCAAGAGAGATAAATGTTTCTCCTATCCCCTCTTTTGTGTAAAAGAATTTTTCAAAAATAATTCATGAGTCGTAATAAAAGGAGACATACGGTAATCTAGCATTCGTATTCATGCGTATGATAATGAGCAGTTTTTACAAATATTCGATTCACATACGACTCAGGCCTAAAATAATGTTTCTTAAACGAAAGTTATGTTTCACTTTTCATCAATAAACAAGCCTATAGAATTATAAAATTTACTATACTCTGCACGATGCCAGACTATTAATGTAACATGCAATATCTCAACATGTTAAGTCAGTGTTTCTTTATAGATTATCACAGTTACGATTAATCGATAATGATACCAAGAACAGTTCATTATGCTACTTGTACAAAGACTGTATATCGATTTTGTAGAACGTACAGTTTCATGCTTCTGTAATAAATGATTATAGCAAACGGCCAACATGTATTCCTAAATGACTTTCTAGCAATATTTAGACATTATTTGGGCATCACTTTATCTCAAGAATAAATTTATTAGTCTAAATGTCACATAATCCAATTTTTATGCCTGCGTTATGATTGAAGAGAACATGTTAACCAAGATTCTTTCAAATACAAATCTCAAGCTAAGAATAGTAAAATATACAAATTGAGATAGTTTACAAGCTAGTAATTAAATATTTTTCAATATTAATTAATGTGTGAATTATTTTGTATAAACCGGCCAGATGGCTGAGCGGTTAAAATGTCAACTTACCGCTCTGGAAATCCGGACTGATCGAAAAAACCCCAATAATTTTATGGAGAGTTGTTCCTCCGGATATGTCGGGCCCCGTCCCTTACATCTGGCCAGATAAAAGTTTAACTCTTTTTTCGTAATCAACCACGTGCAAGTCAGCCATGTTGTTTTCTCGTAAAACTCTTCATTTCAATAAAAGAAAGTAATAAGTTGTAGACCCAGTCTACGTGAAGACAAGAAAAGTACAGTTTTGAATGAAAGAGATCGTTTAGGTGCACCTCTGACATTGTACTTAATTGAATACGTGCGAACGAGAACAAACAGGAAAGAAATAGCTATCAGCGGTGATTAATTACAAGGTAAACGTAGATAAGCTTGAAGAGCGTGAAAACGGGGCAAAATGGAAATGGTATGTTTGTATGGTGTTGCAATCATATGGATCAGAAGACATTATTAACGGTAAGCGTGTACGTATTGATTTACCAACAGAGCCACAAATGAACAAAAGGCAACATACACTGAATGGCAGAAAGACGACGTGAGGACGGCGTTTGATGACAAGTACGCTAAGTAAACCAGTCACTGAGCTTGTGTTGACATACAACGACGCGAAAGAAATTTCGGATAAATTACGCGCGCGATTTGAGCGCTGCAGTACGCAACGTTTGAACATGTTAATTAAAGCCTTCTTTCGGGTTAAACGGAATGAGAAAGAGGACATTAGTAGAGGAGAAGGTGGTATTATGGAACCCCAATTACATTTTAGTGAATTGTAAACAAGGTGTCATAACTACACCCACATTTTTTGTGCGAAAAGTAATGGTAACTATTAAACTAAATGTTCCTAATTGGATTTTTCGCTAGTGTAACTATAAGCATGGTTTTTGAAGGCTTCCGTACAAAGAGTCAGAAAGTAGGCTTAGAGAAAATCGGGTGGTAATATAGAACCTTACTGTATGTTTTCAAAAAACGCTTTAATGTAGCCAAAAACAAATAGGAAAGTACAAAAAATGTTAAATGATTACAAAATTATTTACTCCAATGTATTTTATCGCAAAAATGCTTTTATAATAGAAAAATATGGCCTCCATCAACAATATATATTCCAGCAGCTCTTTTTCGATATTCTCAGGAAGAATTGGCTTTCTTCCTAGTGTATTTTTCACAAATTGCTCCCGACGAATGTCTGCTCGCAAAGAGAGAGTTCGGAGGAGTTGAGTTCCATATTACCGTAAAAGCACCAATGGGGTTCGTATTTCACGCATCTCCATCTTGGGTTAACATAATTCCTGTCGACACCAAACTTTAAAAAACGTGAAAATCACACAGATTAATATGTACTGTACCCCTAAGTCTCTGGAACGGAATACATAAACCAGTGAACCTACAACTACACGATTTATATTTTAAAAATAATTAAATTCACTTAGCATTCAGAACTTACGAATTTTGAAAAAAAACAAATTTGCTGATTAAATACGGACAATCGTTTAACTGAAGTAAAACGGGTTTTCCCTTGCTATGGATGTCTGCCTAGTTCAGTTCAGCCACAATCCGCTGCAGTTCGCCTTTATTATCAGTTCGAAATGGGGTGGTTCCATAATACCCGCAGTGTTCCATAATACCACCTTTTCCTCTACACATGTTGCCAAATTGCAAAAGTTATTTGCGGATTTAAATGACGAATTAACAAAATGTGAAGAAAATACTTTGAAAGAATATTAAACGGAATATTAAGTATTTTGTCTACATTGGGAAAAACTATGATAATTTCAAAGACCTTTCAGACACGATTCCGAGAAAAAATCAAAGTTTGGATTTATTTATTGAAAAACTATGCATAAACTATGCACGATTGAACTGCATGATCAAGGCACAATAGAAACAAATACAATTGTCGCTTCTGGCGAGTATAAAAAGCATAATTCTAGAAAAACAAAAATGCCAGCCGAACGGACAAAGCAAAAATTTCCATGTAAGAAGTATAAACAATTGGGTCATTGGGTAGAAGAGTGTCCGCAGAAAAAGATGGATGTCGGGACTAACAAGCAACGGAGTGGCAGCGTCGTATTCATTACACATGTCATGGGCGCATCGATTGGAAACTTCATTGATGCAAATAAATAGTACTGAGATAGTGGCGCTATCAGGCGTATTATCCCGAACAAACAATACTTTATCTCAAATAGAGAATTAATTTGCTGTTCCTGAAGTAATCTCATTTCGGAAGCAAAATGCGAGTATGTATACGCACGTCCAAGGAACAATAAAGATTCAAGTTCGACGAAATTTAACGTATTTTTTGTAATCAACCACGTGCAAGTCAGCCGTGTTGTTTTCTCGTGAAATCAATTGCGAGTCAGGAAAAGCATAGGGACTGGTCGTATGCGGATGATGATGCTGGAGACAAGGATGATACTTGTCCATACAAAACCGTTTATTTTTGACATAAAATGACTTACACTACGAACAAAATAGACTGCCTTGAGGATCAGGCGCTGGATATGATGTTCGTCGATTGTCGTAAGTGAGATGATCTTCTCCACGAATCTTCGAAGGTCAGGTAGTTTGGATGAGGTCCGTCGGATAAATTGTAAAGCCTGGTACCCACATGCGGCAACGGACGACGGAAATCGTCGACGGAAACGGTTGCCGTTCCGTCGTCTTTCCGTGTCTCGTGTACTCACATGCGGAAATTACCCTACAATTGAAACGCGCCATCTGCCAGCCGTAAATATAAACAAGCTACTACAGTAGGTAGGCCACGTGCCAGTAGTCGAAAATGGCGTCTACCGGGATTGCTTTGTTATATCAATTAAACTTTTTAAGTTTGCCTTCGATCTTATCGCAAATAAAAAAACCTGAAAAACGAATAATTTGGATAGGGAAAATATTCTAAATCGTCGAAAGTTAGGAATATCGAATACTTTCGTCGCCGAATTACGCTTACTCCATTCCCAATACTTTACGCAGTAAGTCTATTTGACATTAATATTTAAATCGGATAGTAATACAGCGTATAAATGAAATATATTAGCGTATTAGTGTATAAATAAAGCTTTTTAGCTTGCCGACCGCCATAGTTTGAACGCTATCGTCCCACGTGATCTTTATGACGACATCGCTAAACGGTCCTCCTATTGGTCTAATTTTTGCCGTGCCGCTTTCCGTCGCGGCAAAAGTTGAAAATTTTCAACTTCGTATTCCGTCGACGTCGACGGCAAAAGTGACGTCATTTTGCCGTTCTGTCGACCGTTTCCGTCGTCCGTTGCCGCATGTGGGTACCAGGCTTAACAGTTCGGAGAGGATGCGACACTAACTGCCGTCAAAATTGGAGGAGAAATGACGTTTTGACCTTGAGAGATTGGGGTTTTATATGATTTTTCCCTCGAATCTTGCCTTTTGATTGATTCTGTATTCCCATCCTTGCTTCCCAATTGATCTCTCATTTTGTTTCTAGGTAAAACCCGGAAATTGTTCGGTTCACGAGAAAGGTCCGTTTAGTGGTGTCTGTCCCATACCTTTTTATCGAATCTGACTGGATTTTGTTGATAAATAAATCGTGCGGTCATAATTCAGCCTGTTGTTTCTATTTTCTGTCAATTTTTGGAAATTAATGACTACACGTGATGTTTTCTTAACCGTTTAATCTTTCTTCTTTTTTGACTTTTTAACCCAGAATCGACTGTTTATGAACACTCGTGTCAGAGTTCCATCTTCTCCAGCCGACATTTCACCTGATCCGTTACATCAGTCGTCTTTCGCGTTTGTTTTAACAACTACAGTTTTCTTTTCTTATGCAATCTACCGTTATACGAGGTTCCTCGTAATTTAAACACAAAAATTCCGCGATTTAAGCGATTTCGGACCTCGTCTGGGACCTCAGAGTAAGCATGGGTGTTATCTTAGATTTGTCCACGGATTTTAGAATCAATTTGTTTTATGTCTTTCATCAGGTTTAATGAAAACTGATAGTGCAATTTTTTTTATCCTTTAGCTTTCCTGTGGTCACCCACGGGAAGCACTAACGACGCTTAGCGAGAAAAGTAGGAACGTTAAAAAGAGGGATTGTTTGTCTATTGACGCTATTGAAATAACTGTATTTTGCCAAGATATTTTGTCGAAATTTGCTTTTTTATGAAATTATGGATAATATATTTTAAGATTGGTATAAAGATAAAAATAAATATTATAATTAAAATGTAATGTTTTTTGTATATACTGGTTGCATATAAACCTAGAAAATTACGATATTCACTTAAGCAAGCATGTGGTGCACACCATAATTTTTACGAAGTAAAGCCACCTGTTGTCGCTAGTGCTCCTATTCTGACTATATTTTTTATTTGATTATTTTAAGTTTCCCGCCAAAAATTTTGCATACTGTTGTTTGACAACTGATATATCGATGACATTTATAACAAATAATCTTTGCTTTTCTTAACGATTTATCAATGGCTGCCTGATCTAAGTGAATCTTGTCAGACAGCCATAGTAGTAATCCTTAAGATTGTTAGTCTTCTATTTATTAAAAGTACAATAGAGAATTGGATTAGAAGTTTATCTCCTAGATGAGTTTAAATCAACCTACATACATTTTAACGCTTAAATGGTTGGCCACAAATGGATATAGCAATTTTCACTTTTTACTTGTTTTGGCAATGAAAACGGTCATAAACAGTTTGTCAACTTTCATTTGTGATCTCTTATAAATCTAAAAACTTGATTGCTGAGTATTTAGGTATAGAACCTACCTATTTGCCTGGTTTAGTAAAAGATTAGGTAGGTATTTACTTAATCTTTAGTAAATTAGCTCCTTGAATCTCCAAAAATAAAATGTATCTATTTATCTGTTAAATAACTACTAGTATGATAAATTATAAAGAATTCATGTAAAACAAATTCTATATAATATAATTTGTTAATTACTGTTAATTAGATATGGGACATAATGTATTACAAACAAAGTGTTATGCTCAAATTAAAATGTCTTTGGCAATTTTATGTCTGCAGGAATGACACCTTGCCTTTTTTCAAGTTTTGATAAAAAAATTGCAGTGATCAAAGTAAATGATGTGGATTTATTAAAAGTTATTCGACCTGCCTCACATGTTTTGATTTCAATATTACTTACCTGGGATTATAAAAAATGTAAAACAGTTGCTTGAATAAAAGTAACATTACTTTGTAAAAAGCTGGAAGTAGATTTGTGAATTACTGAAATTTTAAAAAAGTAATAACGAAAATAGAAATAAACCTAAATCACCGTAATTTCTTTTCAAAGTGCCTTTTTTCTATACAGTAAACAATTAAGGCCACGAACACACATGCATAAAAATTGTGTGGCAGAAAACTGAATCAAAAATCAGCTTTCGGTTCGGTTTTTTTTACATTTCACTAGCTTCACCACAAAATGAGTGGCAGCCGTGAGAAAGAATCAACCAGGTGTCGTTGTCGTTGCTTTCAGAGTTTAGCCTTTAAGACTGTGTTTTGTTTTTATAGATTAATCTCCGTATTTAGTTACTTAAACATTTTTAGTTAAGTGATATTAACCTTAGTAACGAAAAAAGAATATACAGTACTTTTGTTAACTTTGGGAACTTAACCCACGTATTATATTAGTCCTTTGTTTCATATAGCACGGATTCTCATAATACGGCACTTTTTCGGAACGTAACTACTGTGTTATACGAGGGACACCTCTATATATAATTTGATCTCCATAAAGCATTTTGATGCTTTAATTAAAGTTGTTAATTATTTTAACAGAAAATTTAATAAATTAATTTTCTCTATGATAATTGTACTATGTATTTAAGTTCGAAAGAGTAATATTATTAATAACTAAACATTGTTTATAAAAAGTTATATTGTTACCCTTATAAATTAAATAAAATTCGACTATAAAATAAAATTTGATGTATATTTTTAGTTTTTAATTAATTTTTTCGAAACTTTTAATGGAAGACAATCTTTTAATGATAATCATACGATAGTAGACATGACATCATTTACAAATTAGATATTCGAATATCACGTGATTTTAATAGCCATGATACAGTTCATCTGCAGGGAATCGTTTGTCAATCACTAGGTCCACATCACGGACTCTCACAGCCCAATGCGGCGGTTCGTCATCTTGTTGAAGTTCCGAATAGATAGTACAGTCGATCCCACTATAAGACGGTAGATACGTTCCGTTCTTTATGAATCAATTTTGTAGGAATCACAGCCAATCACAGCCTGACACTTGTGAAGTTTACGGACTATGGCTGTTTAAAAGGTTTTCTTCCATAAAATTAATCGATTCTAGACTAATCCGACTCAACATTTCCAAAATACGTATATATATACAAACATGGTTTTTAATTTATTCAATTTAAAATATGCGCTCTCCACCTCAANGAGTATGCACCATTCGACATCGCCGTTGCTCAAGCTTGTTTTCGTCGCGGAACAGCGCAGCAAACCGCGGTCGCGATTTCTGATGTTATTTTTCTGCGAAAACTTCGTTGAACTTTGGAGACATCATTAATATAAATAATTTTAATCGCCGTTGAATAAGAAATGTTTCTTTCACAAGAAATGTATAAAATTACAGTATTGTATTAGACTTACGGTACCTAATTTACATACTGTACGACGCTAGCTCGCCTAAACTCTCCGTAGCGTGGCGCTAGACGGCAGAAAGTATATATATAATTATAATAAAGTTACAAAAAATTAAGTTAATATATAATTATATGTACAGTACCTAATATATATATATAAATTATATATAATTATATGTACAGACGATAGTAAACTCAATTTACCCGCTTAAACTGTCAGTAGCTTGGCGCTGGACGGCGGAAAGTAGTTCGGCTGCCCAATGACGTTTTACGTAATTATAGGAGTTTTTTACCGTTGTTTACGGATACCGCCACAATTTTTTCGCCGTCTTATAGGAATCGTAATTATAGAAACCCGTCTTATAGGGGGATCTACTGTATTGCAATATTTTTAGGTAGGGATTGGAGGTCACTGCTGATTCACGAAAAAGAATGGTCCAATCACAAAAATACTTTATACAGAAATAACGTAATAAGTTTCCCTGTAGAATGACACAACACGGGAATTTTTACACTTGTTGATTGTCTAAAGAGGTTTCAAGTCGACATCACGAGTGACGTTATGAGCATGCGCAATTGTTCGGTGCCATCTTTGTGGTTTGCGTTTTATTTGTGTTTACATGCGCTTTAGCTAGAGTTCTTTTGTTGTTTATTCGTCACGAATATCACTATGGTGAATTGTTGTGTAATTGGGTGTGATGTTAGTTCACTCAAGAACATCATTTTTTAAATTCCAGGCATTATTTGTCATCAAGGACCTCGAACTGAGGAGCTTTCACGACGAAGGCAATCTTCAAGGCTCTCGAGAATTAACCGGAAAAATTTCAATACGGATAAAGTGAATATCAATACAAGAGTTTGTCAGAAACATTTCATTTCAGGTAAGCAATAAATCAGATTACTACTAATAAGTAAATGATTATATAAACTTTTGCATGAGTATCATAAAGTGTGTAGGCCTACAAGCCCATTGCACAAATCCTTTTGTTAATACCGACAAAATAAAGTTAAATAATTTTAACCGCAGATTTTAGTTTGAGTAGATAATGATTGTGTTCTAACTTTATTTTTCATCTTTCAATTTGTTTTCTTATTTGCTTGTAATAAATATACAGTAGTGTTAATATTAAAATATTAAGCAAAGATAATCATGTGAGACTAGCCGAGGATACTAACCAGGAGTACCACTTACACGACTCAGAATCGTGAGATTCAGTCTCGATACTTTTTATAGGAGGGCTGTTAAATATTAAATAGGATATAGACGGCGAAATCTCTATCCAACGTCAGGATAATGACACCAGTTAATCAGTTATTTTAAACGCGGATTAACACGCGTTATCCTTATCCTTAACTCGGGATTCGGAGGATCTACAGTAACTTGAATGTAAATGAATGTCTAATAGAGACCAAACCATTTTATAAACCAAATCAAAATATTTAGTAAATCAAATAATAAAAGTATACAACGATGAATCTAACCTATATCTAAATCTATCTTAAACTACCTTATTTCTACCTAACGCGTGAGAGAGTTTACATCGATCTATCAGAGTCTATATTACCTTCACCGTATTTTTCGTATCTGTTGATCTTCTTCCTTCTTAAAGTATTTCTCTTCTTCTATTTCGTTGACAATCTTGTCGTATATTTATACTTCAATTAATCGGTCTCGTATGGCCTTATCCGTCTGGTATGACGATCACTTGTATCGTATTCTCTTCGTATGGCAATACTTCTTCTTAACGGACTGCCTCTTAACGTATATCAAATTCTTCCGTATGGCAACCCCTTTCCTTGACGGACTGCCTTTTATCGAATGTCGGAGACTTATTTTGTATGGCAAACTTCCTTCGGCGGACTGCCTATATCAAGGGTGGCTAACCTTTTCAGAAGGCGGGCCAAATTTCAGAAATAATATTTCCTGCCGGGCCACGCACCTAATTTTTTTTAATTAAAGTAAACAAGCAAGCGTGCTACAGCTTCAACCATATCGTCGCTTCCCAGTATGGGAGATCGTGGTCAAACACTTGCCTGGTTTAATGAAAAAAAAAACACAAAAAATAGGTATATTTATTTTTGAAGAAAATAAAACATAACCGAGAATCAAACATATTTATTAGACAATTTAAAAATATTTAAAAGTGAGACATCTGACTTTGTTTTACAGAACTAAGTGCATCAAAATTTATCTCCACTGATGTTGTCGCTACACGCAAACAGTTTTCCAAATGAACATCAGTAATTCGTGTTCTCACTTGTGATTTGATGTACTTCATGCGACTAAAAAGCTGTTCACACGCACAAGTGTTTCTAAATAGCGAAACCATCGACAGAGCATGTTTGTAAAACGCAGGGTATTTATCCTTGTCCAAATACGCTACATAGAACTCTTCCAAACCAACTTGATGGAATTTCTCCAACTTTTCAGGGTTTACTTACTTATAGGATCGATTTGGTAGACAGGCTACTTGGTTAAAGTAATTTGAACTGTAATTATAAATATGTTAAATATGTATTTTAACGTCGATTGCAAAATCTCTCCAGATGCATTGGCGATAATAAAACGAAACTACAGAATAACACGGAACTTTGTCAAACTGGACTGAAAGTAGTTATGAGTATGAGCCCGATAGCATTGCGAGCTTCCCGAAAACGCCGAAGACCACAGAACATATATAGCTGAAGTTGAAGTCTCGTATTAAATTTTATCAACACCTAGCGTCGGACAAAAAACTAAGTAACCTCGAGTGTCAAATAGCGGGATATTTGAAATAGCTAAAAATCTATGAATTTTTCCAAAAATGAGAGATATTTCAAATTTCTCTTAGATATAATTTAAAAATACATGATACGAATAACTCATGACGTAATGTTCTTTTGGTGATATGTAGTACAATAAAGTTAACATTTACGTTCATTTGACCTAGCTCCGCGGGCCGCAACATGACTCCAGGCGGGCCGCATGCGGCCCGCGGGCCTCGTGTTGGCCATCCCTGTCCTATATCATATGGTGGAATTCTCTTCGTGTGGCAATTCCGTTCTTCAACGAACTGCCTCTTAACGTATATCAGATTCTTACGTATGATAACCTCTTTTCGTCGGACTGCCCTTTTATCTTATGGCGAACTTCTTGCATGGCAATACCTCGTTTCGACGGACTGCCTCGAATGGCGCGAAAACGGCCCTTTTATTTGGTCTGGTGCAAAACTCGACTCATCCTGAGTTAGCCTGGGAAAGGAAATCAACTTCCTTTCAAAAATCTGATGTTTCCTCCGTTTTTAGATAAAATCTTGTGAAAATTTAAAATATTCTTTTCTCTACTCCGTATTTTGATTAAAATGATCCTTCCCTGAACGCTTCAGATCTCACAATCACTTAGCAGGTGAAGAATTAGAAATGCATTTTGAGCCAATTGTCCTTCCAGTCTAATTTACATAAATAAGAGTTTGTATTTTTTAAGATATAAACCGATACTTTCCATTGTTCACTTACAAATAGCTAAATTAGGTTATTTTGGTGAGAAACATTAATATTTCTTTAATATGCGACTTTTTACAATGGTTTTTTTTACATTAGTAACAAATAATCTTTTTTTATTTTGCTAAAAGTTAAAGTTACTAAAAAATAGTAACTTGAAGGTTACTATTTTTTTTGTTACTAATGTAACAAAAAAAATAGTAATCTTCAAGTTGTTCCTGACAAATTCTTATTTATTATTTATATATATCATACCATAATGATAAGTTCTTTTTAATATTAATAATATTATATATATTAATAATGATATTTTATTGACTAGACTGGTGCCAACATTAAACATGAGGTATTAGAGAGGCCACAACACAACTGCATATCAGGAGCGTTATGAAAGAGCATGTAATCAACAAATTATTTTCAAGTAGGCCTCTGTATGGTAGTACATTTATTACTTCAAGCAAGTTGTACTGCATTCTTTCTCGTTAATGTCGCTTTAAGCATGGTTAACTTCCACAGGTCGTTTCACTTCAACAAATTTTTTATCAATATATTTAAAGAATTCAAAATAATATGTATAGACGAACTGTCTACAGATGTAAGAATAATGATGTAATTAATAACGATGTAAGAAGGCACAAAAATATACTAAGACATTCACTTAAAATATATACAGTAATCATTCAGATTTAATACTTTTGCACTAAATTATTTTTAAACACAAAGTATTTTAAATATAGACTAGAGTCCCCAAAGTGGTCGATATCTACCACTTTGTGACTAAATGATTTGTGACTAAAACTTACCAATTTTCAACCGAATATCAATAATCTTGCCGCTTCTCTTCAGAGACATCCAGAGTTCTCCAGGGGTCGATTAATACACGAGGGTCGAAAGGGGGTCGATTAATACCAAAGAGGATCAATTAAATTGTCTAGGAAAAAAATAGAATATTCCAATAAAAATTCGAAATACGGATATGATCAACAACATTACTGACTATCCTAGTTATAACTTGAGTTTTGCCTTAGCCTACGCCGCTTTAAGCTTGTGTTACTCTGTTTTCACGCATCTGGCAAATGTACTAGTGTTGCAAACATGTTATGAACGCTGGTAGTTCATTATACACAGACATACGTTCACTCTAGTTGGGTTGTCACTCTAACTATTTGATATCTAAATGTAGATATTTTGTCCTTTACAGAGAAAATATCGTAATATATCGAAAATCATTAATATAGTACAGAAGCGTTTGTAAGAAAAAAATGACCTTTCAAGTAAAAATGGAGCAATTTAAATGTTCACTGGCACGATCCGATTTTAAATATTTTTCAAACTTGCGAGTACTAAAAGAAAATGAAAAGGTTTCCGACCGGTTAAACATCTTGATAAATTAAGAGAAGACTTCACGTTTCGAAGAATTGGAGAATATGCATGTTTCCGAATGGTTTGCTAATCCATTTGATGTAAAAATAGATAATAAAGGTAGTGAACCTGGCTTAGAAGATTAACTGATTGAAATATATGTAGATCTCGAAGCTAAAGCGTTATTTAAAAATAAAAACCTCAGTGAATTTTGGAGCAATAACAATATTACTACTAAATATCCCAAGCTCAGAGCAGAAGCCGAACCTTTCTTACTTGCATTCCCAACTTCATACATGGCTGAAGCTGGTTTTAGCCAAGCGAACGCAATTTTGACAAAACAGAGGAACAGATTGAACTTGGAAAACCGTGGTGATTTGTGACTAAAACTTACCAATTTTCAACCGAATATCAATAATCTTGCCGCTTCTCTTCAGAGACATCCATCCCACTAATATCAACTATTTTAATAAAAAGGTATGTCTACATATTTTTAAGGCATTCAGTAGTAGCCGCAAAATGACAGTTAGAGGTTTTTCATCCAATATAACTAATGTTGTGTTTTCAAAGATAAGTGTGTATTTTACGGATTATGACACGTACGATTTAAGAACTATAGACAAATTTCCATCTATCCATAATTTTGTTATTATTTTTTAAGATTATAAATTAGTGGAAAATATCTCGTTTTTCTGTTAATGTTATTGGGTAAATTTTATAAAATATGGCAACTATAAATTCCTTATTTGGGTTGTTATGCGGGTCTCCTTATCGCTTAACATTAGAAATGCAAAAATGATTTAATATTTTTGTTAAATACTTAATAAGAAGGCAAATATCCTATAAAGGGGTCGACGGGATAAAAAGTTTGGGGACCCCTAATATAGACCCTATTTAATAAAATTTTAATTTTTACTAAATTAATTTTAAGGATTGAATACATTTTTCATCAATTTAAATAACATAACCACGGGTACTGGGATCAAATCTAGGTGAGCAACTCTCCAGTAATTTTTTATGAGAGGTCAGTCTCATCCCTCACCCTCATTGCAGACAGATTTGGCAAAAACCCTATTAGTATCCACAGGACGAAAAGAGAAAAAGTTGGAAACATTGTGATTTAGAATGTCTACATTCAAATTAATAAATCAAATATCGGATGATTTTGATTTTTTAAAAAAGTAATAACGTTACAATAAATTCTGTAATTTGAGATAAATATATAAATACGGAAAAATTTGGGTTTAGCGGACATCTTTACTTACTGGACTATATGTCTGGTCCCAGCATAGTAGGTGTATTTATTATTATTATTATTATTTTTTTTTTAACATTTTATTCGTGCATGCTATGAGAATTAGGAGGACGTTTCCATATTCATTGTGAGTTTGACCGAGTTAAGAATGGAAGCAGCTGCGTGGTGAGGAACGAAACACGATATATACGACTAAGGATATGTCTACGGGCTGTTTCACACTATGACCGACCGGACCGACTGGCCCGACTCCAAGTCGTGTTGCCATGGCAACAGCAGTCTGCCAACCGCTTTTCAAATCTGTCCGACTAGTCGTTCCAGTCGGACAGATTTGAAAAGTTAAATATTTGTAGTCGGGTCAGAGCAGTCCGTGAGCTACAGCCAATGAGAGCTTCGAAGCTATAACCAATCAGAGTTTAGATTTATCCAATCTACGTCGAAGTTAGAAAATGGCGGAAAGTATAGATTTCTCGGAAGATTTAATAAACGAAGTCAGAACATATCCGTGGCTTTATGATATTCGGCGAGCCGATTATAAAGACAACATAAAAAAATAATTCTTGGACGGAGATTTCCAAGAAATTAAACTTTGAAGGTACGTGATTGACTAATCTAATAATGACGCGATATATCTAAATGCACGATCTGCTTTTCATGACGGTCATGTTGTAATATATGTTGATGATTTAGAAAATATATTATATTACATTAAATGTAATATAATATATGTTGACGATTTAAACAAAAGAAATGTAATCGAGTAGGTGCCGAGGCGGCGAGACGGAAAGGGGGAGAGAGCTCGAAGGAACCAGCTGGATGTAGTGGTGTTTAGTTGTATTAATAAAGAGTTATTCGTACCATATTATCTGGTCAGTTGAGTCGTTTATAATACACATGTTTTTTGTTTAATTTTAAAAAAACTTACCATGATTGGCTAGTGTATTGATCTATAACACGCGTTCTGATTAGTCCTTATGAGTCGGCCACCGACACATAATCACACTTACAAGTTAGTGTGAATGCTTTTACTACTAGTCGGTCCGATTATAAAATCGGTCGGGTCGGTCCAGTCGGTCATAGTGTGAAACAGCCCTTAGACTGACGCAGTGGCGTAGCGTAGTGGGGGCGGCAAAATTACTTTTTAGGGGGCAGAAAAATTTCACAATAAATAATAATAATATGTTGTAAAAATTTGAACCATTCCATTTCATATTCTCGTCGCACGTACGATTCGGACCGATTGTAATGAGCACGGAATAGTGTCACCGTCCGGACAGTCCGGGTGAACTATTAATTTTACCCGGGGATATCGTACGCAACCTGTTGACTCTTTTTTTTTTTGCTTGTACGATTTATTCGTATTCATATACACCTCCAATATCCAATAGAGCTGAATCATCTAGGTCAGTGTTTCTCAACCTCTAACGAATCGTCGCCCCCTTCTACGTAGTATCGCCCCCATCAATAAAACCGTTATGTAATATTGCCCCTTCACTACAAAATTACGATGCCGAGGGCCAAGGCTAACGCCAAATTCGTACTGCATCGAATAGACTAGTGACTAGTATAATGTTTTTTGTTTAATTATTGTACGATATAACGAATAAAATATCGAATTATTCTTAATATAATATTTTACTATATCGCCCAGAAAATTGTTTTTTGCCCTCCAAAATATAAATTGTTACTAATCGCCCCTCAACATGGAAAAACGCCCACATGGGGCGATATCGACCCCGTTGAGAAACACTGGTGTATACAAAAATGTTGCAAATGTATAATTTTCAATAAATCTTTTTCATAAAGAAAACATCTTTCTTATGAATAGCTTTTTATTCCTTAGCTAACATTCAAATAAATCCTTGCAGATCTGTTAAATGAGATTAAAAAGGTCACTAATGTTTTACTGATGATAATTTGTTGATGGATTTAAACTAATAATTCAAAATACTTTCTGATTCTATTCTGTTCAATTGCATTAGTATGAAATAATAATAAAATTTTTGGATTTGTAATAATGTTAATTGATAGCATCAAAATAATTTTGAAACTCAAAGTGAAAACAAATTGACATTTATTAAATTATTTTACATATACACATTTGTTTACTTTTCTATATCATATATTATATATATAAATTAAAAGAATTTTACTGGTTAACAGTCAAGCCTCGAATTACACTAGAAACACTTAACTCTTGGTTTTCGCGAGGGTTAAGTTTTTTAAAAATCTCGTGAAAACCAAATAAGGATGCCTATGGGAAAAATTGAGTTTGGTTTTACTGAACATTTCAAAGATAAACATTAATTATAAAATATTGCAAATTTTTTAATATAAAACGTTTAAATTGTTTCTAAAAAGCAAAGAATAATTTTATTAAATAATACAAAAGAAAACAAAAATTTCGAATAAGGGATTAAAAATTCAGCAGGAAAATCTTGAGATTAAAAGAACTTAAGGAGAAAAGTCTACATATTCTGTAGAATAACTTTTATAATATACTGTGTAATTTTAAATATTTTGATAAAAATAATGAACAATAGTCATCTTTTAAAGCCACAATATAAACATTGAATATTAGATAAAAGACAAGTTTGCCGTTCAAGAAACGAACAGTAAAAAATTTTGTTTGTTAACTCTGTGCCTTCTGTTTCACTTTTATTTTTTTTAAATCGACAATGATAAAACAAAATGACGACAACATACCACTCCCTTATTCACTTTTCAACCATGATGTATTTACACTGATTGCCTTCCTTCACGTGATTCAGTGATGTCACATCCGACCATAAATTAGAATTATGCTTGTCTTTAGCTTCTTGAC